GTTAAAGTCGACCCAGCAGTGCTGCACGTTCATGCGCATGCACCAGTAGGTGCTCAGCATACGAAGCTTTGGCACGGCGTACTCGATGGACGTGAGCTCGCCGAGGAGAACGTCGTGCATGTAGGGCGTGTAGATGCTCGTGAACGCATCGATGGTCGCGTACGTCTTGGGCACCATGGCCGACGCAGAGAGCACGTCCAGTGTACCGTTGGCTTGTGTCATGAGAAACTGGTTGACGAGGTCGATGAGAAAGGCTTGGTAGCCCGAGACGTTGTAGCCGGCCCACCAAAGATCGTTGGCGAAGCTGGGTTGGAGCAGGCTCGTGTAGTAGACGCAGCCGGCGAGTGAGAGCAAGACGTAAGAAAGGCCGAGCGCGATGGATGGGGCAGGCATCATGATGCCAACCATAAAGTGTCCAACTGCGACCGAAGCCGAAACGGACACTAGAGACAACCTCCGAAACGACTGCGACTCTTGGACCGATGTCGCTCGGCATCTCACCGCGGCAGCTGCTCGAGGCGCTTCTCGGTGTCACGTACGTGGTCCTCTCGGTGCTCAGCGGCATCATGTACCTTCGTGTCTTGGCGCAAAGCTCGGCCAACGATCTGTGGTGGCCACACTACAATGCGTCAGGCTACGAAGCATTTCTTGTCGACCTCATCAACCAGATGCTACCCGTGGTTTCTTCTGGCACATGGGACCTCCGCAGCCCTGATGCGATGGTACCACAAGCGTATGCGCGTCTCAGCGCTGCCACGCGCATCTACCCGCCGTACATCCACAGTCTCCTCGTCTCGCCCCGGCTCACGTCCCCGACGTTCGTGATTCCGAAGCTGCGGGCGCTCACGCCGTTCTGGAGCATGCGCATCAACGTGCCGTCGTGCTGGGTCGACTTTAACCAGTCGTTCGAAATGGCCTTGACGATAGCGCGCCAGCAACGGTGTGCGCAGCGCTATCGGCACAACGCCGCCGTGTACCTTGAAGCTGTCGTGCGCAATCAAGTGTGGGCCGACTACATGGCCATGTGGGGCACGCCGGGGAGCTACTTTGACGTAGCCGTCCAACAAGGGCTCCGAGCATCCATCGCCGGTCAAACCTGGCTAACAAACGTGTCGATCGCGGCCAAAACGACTTCAGTCGCCGACGAAGTCGACTATTGGCAAAAGCACAACCTCACGTCGTTTGAGCTGCAGTGGCAAAACCGGTGGCTCACGGGTATCTCGGACACCCTTCAACTCACTAACGCCTTTGGTTTAACAGAGGCGCTGCCACTCAAAGTGCAGCCGCTTCTCGCTGGCTCGTGGTCGTCGCAGACCATGAACTGGATGCCGATTCAGGTTGCGTACAATGCGATGATCCTCAACCGCAGCATGGTGCGGGACACCGCACAGTACGTTGGCCTCAACACGTCTCTCTTGCCGACCGTCAATTTCGAGACGTACCGCGGTCTCGCCGACACCGCCGGCCAGCTCGTCGGTCAAGCCGCCTTGTTTCACGCGACCGTCGGACCGTACTTCAACGTCGATACGCGTATAAAACCCATGGTGCCCGACTTACTCGGCGCGTACAACACCTTTCACTCGGCGCTGTTTGCCCGTCTCGATGCCTCGCGTCCGCTCTTTGATGGCTTGCTGACGCTACGGCCGCTACAGCTGGCGCCGCTGCCGGCATCCTGGCGCAACGCGACGTACTTTGGGGGCGACCCTATGTGTACGAACGGCGCGCCGACCGGATTTGTCCAAGCGCCGTTTTCTTTTTACGATGATTGCAGCCATCTCCATCCGTTTACGGTCGTTGCCGCTCCCACGACTTTGCTCTTTGCACTTTTGGCCGCGAACGCGACACTGGACGAGATTTGCGGTCTGCAGACGAATCTCGCCCCCGTGGTCTGCAGTGACGCGCTCAATGCATCGATGCGCTTTCTGTATGACCTTGCGTTGCCCGTGTCTGTGCGTGCGGCGATCGAGACGGCGCGACCTGCACTAGACGCCGCACAGATCAGCCTCATGCAGTTTGCCCAACGCCCCGGCACCAACTGGACACTACTGACGGCCCCGCTGAGTGCGAGCGAGAGGTCACTTGGCTGGTCGTTTTACGGCTGGTGTCTCTTGCATGAGTGGGCCAAGGGGACGCGTGAAGTCGTCTCGTTTGAAGGCAACACGGCAACACTTGTTCTCGTGTCGGACGCGTACGACGGCGACCCGTTTGTCACCGGCGACAAGCCGCTCCACGACGCCACGCGCGTGCTCTACTACCTGGTCGTCTACAGCGCCAGCGTGTTGGCGCTCGTCGGACTCTACAGTGTGGGCTACGCGATTCACTTGCGCTTCCATCTCCTCGGTCGCAACCTTCGCTTCTTCAACCGCCTCGTGGGCTCCATCTGGGTCGGTCGGCCAACGCTTTTCTTACGCGGCTTGAGCGCGATCTTGATGCTCAGCACGTCACAGCTCTCGCTCACTGCCGTCGGCGGCTACAGTCGGCTTCTCTTTGCACCGCGGCCGCTGTGGCAGACGCTTCTTATAGCGGGCGAGGCGACCTGGGTCCTCTACGTCGTCACGGACGTGTTGCTCATTTGTCTTCCGCACCAAGACACCATTCGCATCTACGGCCCCCTTAGCAGTCTATGTGCGTTCACGGTGGTTGTCGTTCAGGAGCTAATGTCGCCGATTCAAGCGACGTTGACGCTCGAGCGCGACTGCACAATGCAAGACTTGGACTACACCATTAGCTGCAAGGTGGGTACGCTGATGGTTGGCGATTTTACGCGCCTCTGTACGCTGCTTGGGGCGCAACTACTCGCGCTCTTTGTGGTCATGGGCGCGACGTACGGGCTACGGAAGCGCCCGAACCGCGTCACAACGTTCGAGGACGTGAGCTTGCTTCTGTCCGGGCTGCCTGCCGCGCTCTTGACGCCTCTGCGTGCGCAGTCCGACAACTACGACGCGGTCACGTGCGTCCTCTGCGGCATTGTCCCGTTCACGGTGCACACCCGTCGACGGGTATTCCACTTGATCTTGTGGGTCTTTCTTCAAGATACGATAGCGCGGAGCCACTGCAACCTCTCGCGGGTGTCGGTGGTCGGCCTCTTGAGCCGCGCGACGGCGCCCCCTTCGATGCACCACCTCGGACCGCTCTTGCCGCACCGCCTCGGGCTCCTCGAGCGCGGCAAGCACGTCAAGTTGGCGATCGGCGGCTGTTTTATGGCTGCGGCCATCACCGGCTCGATCTCGTACTTGCAAGTGGCGAAAGCCAATTTGGCCAACGATTTCTTCTGGGCTTCGTTTCAAATGTCGACGATCCACAGTTTCTTTGGGAGCTGGCTCAATGAACAACTTGTCTTGCGTGTCGTCGACGGTGCGCTGGACGCGACCGACGGTCGGTTGAATCTACTTGGTACCCATATCGCCACCGTGTCGGCGACAACGACGTATGGAGCAACCCTTGCCTACGGCGATCTCAGTGCGATCGAAGCCTCGATTGCGGGTCTTCGCGTCTCGGATGCGTGCAACGCGCCCTGGATCTTTACGCCGTACTGCTACCTCGACTGGAAGAAGAAATGGTCAATGGCCTACTCCAACCAGCGCCAACTGCGGTGTCAGAAGATGGAGGAAAATGCTGCCGTGTACCTCGAGTCGGTGCTGCGCAACATTGACTTCGCAACCTTTGCGTATTGTTGGGGCAGTGCGTTTGAGACGGCGTTTGGTGTCGACCTGCGACAGTCGTCCGACGGTCAAGACTGGCTGCATTCAATGGCTATGGAGCGACTCCCGCTGCAAGATGAAACCGCGCTGTGGCGCCAGCACAATCTATCAATATTTCAAGTGCAGTGGCAAAACTACAAGCGCATCGGCGTCTTCAACAGCTACTCGATCGTCAACGCCTTTGGTATCTCGTATCCTATGACGCTCATGGCCCTCAACGGCAGCTACCGCTGGAGCAGTCAGACCTCGTACAAGATGTACTGGTCGCTGGCCAACGATCTCTCTGCGATTGCGTCCAACACCAGTGGTATCAGTGGTCTCAGTCTCTTGCGAACGAGTCCTCGGTTCGCCTTTGCCAACACATCTCTTCAAGCCGTCCTTACGGCAAACTTGACGTTGATGTCGCCACTGGCCAACGGCCTCGCCCTTGTCGCCGCGATGCTTGGCCCGTTTGGCGTCACTGACATGGTGTATGTGAGCGTACCGGCCCTCGTCATGGAGCTTGTCCGAGACATTGTCAACGACGCACGCAAAGCCATGGCGATGAGTCTCGATGCCCAAACACTGTATGCATCGATCGTCCCCAACACCATGTCATGCCCGATTCCATCCAAATGGAGCGCGCTCGAGACGCTCGGGAGCAGCCCGCTGTGCCCCGAGTACCTCGCGAGCAAGCCGCTCGCAAAGTGCTTCTCGAACCTCGTGGCCTTCTCGTCGCCGTGTCTTCCCGCCGTGCCAAGCCCGAGTCGTATCACGGCCACACGAACGCACTACCTCGTGTCGGCGATCTTGGCGTCCGTGGCGCCAACGACCAACCTCACGGCGGTCTGCGCCGCCGACGCGAGCTTTGTGCCCGAGTGTCGCACATTTTTGAATTTGACGCGCGCCTTTCTCACACAGTATCTGGACCCGACCAATTACGTCGATCGAACCCACATTGTCAATACTGTGGTGGACGACCTCAACATCTCGTTCATGGTTTACACGCGGGCGCCGGCGCTGCAGCTCGTGTCGACGCCGGTTTTCGAGGCGCCGGCGTTTCGGTTCTTTGGGTGGACCTACTTGACCTCGTGGGTGCTCGGTCTGCGCGAAGTGGTGTCGTTCCAAGGCGACGTCGCGACGCTCACGCTTCTCTCGGACGAAATCCCGCAGCTCACGCAAGGCGTCCTCGACTGGCAGCTCGCAACCAATGTCGCGCAGTACTTGCAGTCGGGTGTCCTGTACGTCACCTGTATGATGCTCAGCGTGTCCGTGATCGTGTCGCTCTACGTGCTCGTGATCCGTGGGCACATTGAGGGACTGAACATGCTCGAGCTCTCGCGGGTCGCCGGCATTGTCTGGGTCGGCCGACCGCTCCTCTTTCTTCGGTCGCTCACGGCGCTCTGCGTCCTCTCGACAGCGTCGCTCGAACTCGACACGTCGGGCGTCCTCAGTCGCTTGCGAGCGCCGCCAACCCCGTGGTACACCGTCCTTTTGGCCGCCGGTGAGACGACGTGGTTCGTTGCTGTTGTCAACGACATTGGACTCATTCTCACTCGCGAACACGCAGCGCTCTTTGTGACGCCCAACAGCCTTCTCGTATGGCTGGTCGTGGCTGTGCTCACGGCGCTGCAGCCCATCACTGCGTCGCTATCCCTTCAGACAACGTGTCACGTGACCGAGACGGACTACCAAGTGCACTGTCACAGCGCCGAGATTGCAATTGGCAGCGTCACCCGGCTCGTGCAGTTGCATGGCATCGTGCTCGGCTGCACGTGTGTGAGCTATAGCCTCGTGCGCTGGCGCATACGGTCGCTGCCGCCAACCCCAACGACGTCGCTCTTACTCTCGAGTGGCGCCAAGTACCTCTTCTTGCACGGCGGCCGCATCATTGAGAACGTGTACTACATTGACCGCGCCTCGGCGGCGCTCACCGGCGTCCTCACGCTGCGCTACGGCGCGACAGTCTATGCGCTCGACGTCAAGCTCTGGCGACTCGTCGTGACGCCGGTCCATGACCGCGTCGTCAATGGCTGGATCGGCTCGGAAGCCGAACTCGCTGCCACGTATGCGCTGATCGACTGAGTTGCCTTTGGGCAAGGACTGCTGGACGATCGCCAAAAGCTTGACCATCATGCCTATATCTTGCGGCGGCCACGACTACTGCGACGTCAACGCAGTGAACCGCTGCGCGTGGCGACAGACTGGTCTTTGGCGACTGGATCAAAGTTTCGCCGGGTCTAGTCTGGAATCTGGACTCTGGAGCGAGGTCTGAATACGTTTAGCGCCGGAAGATAGGGCAGCCAGCAACATGCTTCGCGGTCGCTAGCTTCTACGCGAGAGCCATCGCGCTTGGCGAAGGACTGGTCTCTGGTGATGAGATCGAAATTTGGTTCAATCAAGTCTGGACTCTGGTTATCTGGACTCTGGATCTGGTCGAGTCTGGTGGGATGGAATACGACTGGATTTGAATCCTGCGTCAACTCAGGCGTGGGAGGTTGCATCCGGTTACGATCCGGCGACTCCTTGTGGCGCGATGCCATTGGCCAGTGGATTAAAAATACAATAAATTAATTTACTTTCTATTGTTCGAATTAACTTGATGTATGTAGGCGATTTGATCGTTGGATTTAAATACAGTGAAAAAACACGCGGTATCCACCATACTGTCGGGCTGGGACCACTGCTACGTGGAGATGGCAGACGCACCGACGGACGCAAGCTCGTCCGCGTCGCGCTCCGTGGACGAGGTCGCGCGGGACCTCGACGTCGACCTTAGCGCCGGCCTCTCGGCGGCGCAGGTCCATACGCGCCGCCTAGCGCACGGCAGGAACGCGCTCGAGACCGACGGCGAAGAGAGCTTGATCAAGAAGTTCCTCGAGCAGTTCCAGAACCCGCTCAATATGCTGCTCATGGCGTCCGGCGGCGTCTCTGTGCTCATGGGCCATCTCGACGACGCCATCTCGATCGTCGTTGCGCTTACGATCGTCGTCACTGTTGCGTTCGTGCAAGAATACCGCAGCGAGAAGACGCTCGACGCGCTCAAGGAGCTCGTGCCGCCGCGCTGCCGCGTCATACGCGATGGCTTCACCCAAGAGGTGCGCTGCTATGACGTGATATCTCTCATGTTCATGCCGACGCGTAGCTCGACGCCTCCGAACTCGTGCCGGGCGACATCATCCTCATCGCCACGGGTGATCGCGTGCCTGCCGACGGGCGCCTCGTCGAAGCCATCAACTTGGACGTCGATGAGTCGAGCTTGACCGGCGAGACGCATCCCGTACGTCATCGCATGGCTGCATGAGGTGCGATTGCACTTTGGTCTAGGTCTCCAAGCACACTGCGCCACTGCAGCAAGCGCTCTCGCACCCGATTGCCGAGCGCAAGAACCTTGTGTACATGGGCACGCTCGTGCGCACCGGGCATGGCAAGGCGATCGTGTACGGCACGGGCCGGTCGACCGAGTTTGGTGCTGTCTTTGAGGTTGTCGACTCGGTCGAGGAGCGCAAGACGCCACTGCAAGCCCGCATGGACACGCTCGCGAACCAGCTCTCGATGGCGTCGATGGCCGTCATTGGCGTCATTGTCCTCGTCGGCGCGCTCCAGGGCCAGCCTGTCTTCAAAATGCTCCAGATCGGCGTCTCGCTCGCGGTCGCCGCCATCCCGGAGGGCCTCCCCATCTGCGTCACCGTCACATTGGCGCTCGGCGTCATGCGCATGGCGTCCCGGCACGCCATCCTCAAGAAATTGCCGGCGGTCGAGGCGCTGGGGTGCACCAGTATTCTCTGCGTCGACAAGACGGGGACACTGACGACCAACCAAATGCAAGCGCTCGCTGTCTACGTCATGAACGTGGCCGGCGCCGTGTGGCCGCTCGATACAGCGCGCAGCGCGGCCGAGCTCGTGGCGACCACGAGCCTCTTTTTAACTGGTGTCCTCTGCAACAACGCCGACCTTGTCAACGGTGACGTGGTCGGCCAAGCCACCGAAGGCGCGCTCTTGTTGGCCGCGGCGTCGCCCGAGATTGGCCTTCTGCCACTCGTTCGGCGCGAGTACCCGCGGCGCGAGGAGATTCCGTTTAGCTCCGACACCAAGTTTATGGCCGTCCGTGTCGCCGACCAGGGCGACAACACCTCTACGTGGCATGCCAAGGGCATGGTGGAGGCCATCTTGTCGCGTTGCACGACCGTGCAGACCGACCGCCTCGAGACGCGGGTGCTCTCCGAGACGGACCGCCAGCACCTCTTGGCGAAGGCGCATACGCTCGCCCACGAAGGGCTGCGTGTCCTCGCGCTGGCCAAGGGCCCCAGCATGGAGTCGCTCGTGTTTCTCGGGCTTGTCGGCATCTCGGACCCGCCGCGCGCCGGCGTGGCCGACACGATCGCGTCGCTTGCGGCCACGGGTGTCTCGACGCTCATGCTGACGGGCGACGCCAAGGAGACGGCGGGCGCCATCGCCCTCCAAGTTGGCATTCTCACTGATGTCGAGAACGACGACTTGTTTTGTGCCGGCGCCGAGCTCGACCACCTCGATGAGAGCGCGCTGCAAGCTCGGCTTGCGACCACGCGCGTCTTTTACCGGACGTGCCCGACCCACAAGCTCCAGATTGTGCGCGCAGCGCAGGCCATGGGCGCGCAGGTGGCCATGACGGGCGACGGCGTCAACGACGCGCCGGCGCTCAAGGCCGCCGACATCGGCATCGCGATGGGCACGACCGGCACCGATGTGTCAAAGGAAGCGGCGGACATGATCTTGCTCGACGACAACCTGGGCACGATTCTATATGCAATGGCCGAAGCCAAGGGCATTTACCACAACATTACGCACTTCTTGCGCTTCCAGCTCTCGACGTCGGTGGCGGCGCTGAGTTTGATTGCGATCACGACGCTCTTTGGGCTGCCAAACCCGCTCAACGCGATGCAGATTCTATGGATCAACATCATCATGGACGGCCCGCCCGCGCAGTCGCTCGGTGTCGAGCCTGTCGACGACGACGTGCTCCAAGAAGGCCCTCGGTCGCCCGACGTACGACAACCTTTTGTCATTTAGTTGCTGATCGAATGACGACGGTCTGTAGGTGCCCATCATTACGCGCGCGATGCTCAAGCGCGTGCTCGTCTCGGCCAGCTTGATTGTATTGGGTACGCTCTACGTGTTTGTCGACGAGCTCGATGACGCATGGCACGTCAGTCGGCGCGACCACACGATGAGCTTTACGACGTTTGTGCTTTTTGACATGTTTAACGCGCTGAGCTGCCGCTCCGAGACCAAGTCGGTGTTTGAAATCGGCCTCTTTTCCAACAAGGCGTTTTGCGCCGCAGTCGGCGCGTCGCTCGTCGGGCAGCTCATGGTCATCTACGTGCCGTTCCTGCAAGCTGCGTTCCAAACCGAAGCCCTGTCGCTCGGGGATCTACTCTACATGACTGCGATTGCATCCAGCGTCCTACTGGTCGACGAAGGCCGCAAATGGGCGGACGCGCGTCGCGGCAGCTGGCGTCGGCCGCGCGTGTTTGCCAAGAAGAAGCGCTCCAAGTCGTCCGAGTACGTCCTCGCCATCCAGCGCGACGACGACGACGACGAGAGCGCGACGCTCGGCGCCAAATCGGTCCTCTCGGCGCGACGCACCGACGTCATCGTCTAAGACTATAGAAAAGACTGCTGTTTGTTTCTACTGGCCTCTCTTAGAACAACTTGATATATCGATATATCTCGATAGATAGATAGATAGATAGATAGATAGATAGATAGATAGATAGATAGATAGATAGATAGATAGATAGATAGATAGATAGATAGATAGATAGAT